AGTAATAGCCTGCAGGGACTACAGTTATTAGGATTGATAAATAGATTGCTGCAATATTTAAATGTTTGCATGATTCATTTCTCTAGCAACTTGTTGGCAGAGGATTTGCTGATTTTGCAAGGCTGTAACTTTCTGATTCCTTTTGGACCAGCACAGACCTTCTTGGTCAACAGCATTCTACCCAAAGCCTTTGAATTTGATGTCACAAAGCCTCATCTTTATGTACTCCACCTACCGTGTGGCTAACATATTTATTCTATAATATTAGGATGACAAGGCATTCTTAGGAACTTGGGTATAAGACTATCATTAACCTAGACTATTCCAAGAATACTTGGGATTTTGACCATTGCAGGGAGAAGAGGTTGGTGGCAGTTTTATGATAAGGAGAAAGAGTAATTTCTGAAAGATGGGAACGTCACAGATTTCAAGAGGCATTTCCAAGGTGAGCTGACATTCTTTCCCCGTATTCCAAGTTTCTTGGCTTGCCTTCTTTCTGTCTTGCCTTGTTTAAAGTCAGATTTTTCCAGCCCTGTGGTGGAAGTCCCTGCTATTTTTCAGATAGTTATAAACATAGAGCCTCCCCCTGGGCACATCTGCTCTTGTGGTAACCTCACCCCTTTCCTTGGCACTGAGTTGGATGTAACGGTTAGGGTGATGCAGATGGAAACAGACCAGTGTTAATGGCCACCACTGGTGTGTTCTTCCTTTTGGATTTTTTGGGAAGGAGATGTTCCAAGGTTTTGGCACCTGTACTCTGTGGACCACCTGCATCTGCATCCCCAAGGTGGGAATGGGGAGAATAGGAAACTGGGTTGGGCCTCCCATGTCAGTGTCTTTTAAACCTCTCAGACTCTTCCTATGTGGCCCAAGTCGGGGAACTTCTGTCTTAGTGGTTCCACATCCCCATTCCATTCCTCCATTGAGCACAGGCAGGGAAATTGCACTTCAAAGAGTGTCTGAGAATGGGCTTCCTGGTTTCACATCAAAGCTAGAATTGGATAGCTTCTTTCTCTCCCTCTTACCTCCACTCTCTGTTCCTCTCTCACCCACACTGAGCATACAACAAAGCCTTTACACTTGAGCTTTTCTGTGGGATTCTAACTGTGGTTTGTTTTCATTGATAACTTAGAGGAAAAGGTGTCTAAAAGAACATGAACATAATTCAGGGGAATTATTATTATGCTCCTTTTACAGATTGAGAAACTGAGGCGAGTGATTCGTGACTTGCCCGGATGGCCAACGTGGTAGAACTAGGATGTGAATCCTGATGGAGCTGGCACTGAACTGCAGGCTCTAACACTGTGAAACACTGTCTTCGAAAGAAGGAGTGGAGAAGTAGCTCCCCTTCCTGCCTTTTATTATTAATAATAAACACAAACATACTCACATAAACACTCTTCTCTGGGTTGAACCACTTATATTAGGAATGGAGAAAGGCCTTATTCAGATAGAAAATCTTCTTGGATGGTGTTCTCATGGGCAGATTGATGTTTGAAAGCCAAGTTGTCCATTGTTGTTATTAAGTGCCATTGAGTCAGTTCCATCTCATAGTGACTTTGTAAAAGCCTCATCTTTCTCCTGTGGATTGGGAACCACTAACCTTGTGGTTTGCAGTCCAGTGTTTATCCTACAGAGCCTCCACACTCCCATTCCAGGTTGTCCACTAGAAACTATAAAGGCTTAAGATGTGGGTTTTGCTGTTTGGGTCCATCCCACCTCTTTGTTTTTGGTCCTCAGTATGTGTCTAAACAATGTGAGCTGGTTGTTACTGCCTTAAAATTAGGAGATTTTCCATAAAAACTGAGCTTTCCAACCTCCTTTGAAAATCGGACCTTGGAAAGCCTACGTTCTAAGTGACAGAGCTGAGTGGCGGCTGCCCCTTTGTAATGTGCTTGCCAGTTCACCATGTCCCCACCACTCCCTGTTGTCCCAAATCAGGCTGCTTCATTCATGCCTGTTCCCTGCCAGCTGTGACTGTGTGACATCACCTGTTTCTTTACGTTGAAATCTCACATTACCCTCGCTTAAATAAATTCTAGAGTTATGTGCAGGTGAAAGCCATCTACTGGCCTTGGTTCCTAGGTGTCCCTGAAGGGATACATTGACTTAGAGGAAAGTGTGGCACTGTGATCAGAAGCAAGGTTCCAGAACCCACCTTTACCACCAACTCAGGAGCCTTGGTGACACTGTAGGATAAACACTACTCTGCTAACCACTAGGTTGGCAGTTCATATCCACCCACAGCTCCGTGGAAGAAAGATGAGGCTTTCTGCTCCAGTAAAGATATATAGCCTTGGAAACTATGAGTTGGAATCCATTCTATGGCAGTGGATTTTGCTTGCCATAAACTGGACTGCGAACCATAAGGTCAGTGGTTCAAACCCCCTAGTTGCTCCTTGGAAAACCTTTACAGGGTCACTATGACTCAGAACCAACATGACAGCACTTAACAACAACAACTAGCTGTGAGATGTCAGGCAAATAACTTGACTTTTCTGCATCCCTCATCAGTTTCCTCATCAGTTAAGTGGGAATAATATCTACCTCATGGGATTTCTGTGACAATTCAATGAGTTAGTTCATGTAAATTCACCCAGAACAGTGCTTGGCGCATAGCAAGTCCTGTGTCAGTGCCATTTGCTGTTGTTACAGCCTCTTTAGCTCAAGCACTAGTCTGGACGGTGTGTTTTCCCAAGTCCTTACTTGGCCTCATTCCTCTGGAATACTAGTCCTCTTTGCATTGACTCATGTGTACAAAGCCTTGGACTCTTGTTCCTGGTTTCTTTCTCAGTTCTGAGAACCTCAGTCACCAATGTTGATAACCATAGTCGTTGTGTCCTTTCCCGCTCTTTGGACACAGTCCTATCTGTCTCTCTGCCTATGATACTTCCTGCTTTGATATCTGCCCTCAATTCGGCTGACACTGATATCCCCTGGACCTGGCTTCTCTGATAGGAACTTTGTCTGCCTCCTTCACCCCACCAAGTGAGCTCTTCCTGAAACCGAGGACACTCAGTCAGAGAGGTTGGCCTTCTGAGCTTGAGACAGCTGTGCTTTGGTCAGGAGTATAGGAGTAACTGTGTTGCCCTTGTAGGAGAGCTTCAGGATGTCTCACTTATTATCTGCTTTGCCAGAAGGTACAGAGCAAGACAGAGATGGATCTGGGCTTGTCATTTCTGGGTTTGGGCTGTCCATCACCCCACCTTGTTCCCTGCTGTAAGATGCTCTTAACTCTAGAAGAGGAACACACCAACAGCATTGTTATCTTTATGAGATGTAAGCTCAGTGGCAATCTGAAACAGACGTGGAGTCCCTTCTGCCCTTAAACTAAGAACACTTAAGCTAGTAGCTGCTCCTTGGAAATCCATGCAGCGTGGCTATGAGTTAGAACTTGACAACAACAACAACAGTGCAACGTCATGGAGATCTGGGGCACCATGGTTAAGTGCTCAGCTGCTAAATGAAAGGTTGCTGATTCAAACCCACCTCCAGGGCAAAAAGGCCTGGGGATGTGCTCCCATAAAGATTCCAGCCTAGAAACCCTATGAGGCAGTTCTCCTCTGTCACATGGGGTCATTCTAAGTCAAAAATGACTTCAACAGCACCCAACAGTAAGTGCAAACTCACATAGGAAGCCTTTTAGCCGATCAGATGGGAAGGCAGAACAAGTTATAATTCTGAATATTCTGTTTACTTGCCCATGTTGTCTACCCTTTTATATTTGGGTGGGAATATATGATGCATGCAAAAGCTGGATAGTGAATAAGAGACAAAGAAGAAGCTGATGCCTTTGAATTAGGCTCCTGGAGAAGAATACCATGGACTGCTAGAGAAATGAACAGATCTGTCTTGAAAGAAATAGTGCAGAATGCTCTTTAGAAACAAGGGTGGGGAGACTTCATTTCACGTACTTTGAACACATTATCAGGAGGGACCAGTCCCTGGAGAAGGACATCATGTTTGGTAAAGTGGAGGGTCAGCAAAAATGAGGAAGACCCTTCATGAGCTGGACTGACACAGTGGCTGCAAAAATGGGCTCAAATGTAGCAGCAAGGGTGAGGAGGGTGCAGGGTTGGGCAGGGCTTCCTTCTGGGTCAGAACTGACTCCGTGGCACCTCAATGTGACAGTTTTAACAAATGCCTTGTGAGCAAAAGTGGCCCATGTGGGATTCTCCAGTTTTCCTCTTGCCTAACTTAGCTTAAGGCAATCTCAAGTTCTAGATCTGGGATCCAGAACTATGGGCCAGCCATCTGTGTTTTTATAAATAAAGTATTAAAACACAGACATCCCTGTTTATTTACATTGTGTCTGTGACTGTGTTTGTGCTAAAATGAACTGAGTGGAATACTTGCAACAGAGACTCTGTGACCCCAAACCAAACCAAACCTGTTGTCCTTGACTCGATTCTGACTCACTGTGACCCCATGTGTTAGAGCAGAACAGTGTTCTGTAGGGTTTTCTTGCCTAGAATCCTTTTGTTGGAGGGAGGGGGAGTGGCAAAAGTATTATAGAATGTATGTCTAAAATACCGTGTTACCTGGAACACAAGGTAAACAATGTTTGATGAATTTTGGCTGTAATCTTTATGTAAACAGTTTGCCAAGTCTTTCTTCCATGGTGCTCTTGGGCAGATTTATACTTCCAGCCTTTGAGTTAGTTAATAGCTGATTGCAAACTGCTTGTTTCACCCCGGGATCTTGTATGACCCACGAAACCTGGAATATTTACCACCTGGATCTTTACAGAAAAAGTTTTTTTTGACTCTTGTTCTAGAAAGAACAGTTGCAAGACAGCAGGCTGAGCTTCCCAAAGCCTGGGGCCCAGAATGACTGTGTGAGGAGACTACTTCCACTGACTTACACGGCCCATGTCAAGCCATTGAGTAAAAATGAAATCCCTCTTGTGTGGGGTTGTTTCTAGAGCACAGCTTAACTGAGTCGCACTGGATCCCCGGGGCCATTCAAGAAAGGACCCGAGAGTTGAAAAGCCTACTTACTGCTTTGTGAAGTGAACTATACAAGTGATACCAATGATGAGAAGACCAATGATGATGGAGGCGATGGCCACCCACTTGGCGTTGCGCCCGAGTCGCCGGGATCCTTCGATGTCTCCTTCGCTATAGCTGTTTTGAGACTGTGGGGCACAAGAGAAGAGCTGGTGATGGCAGACAGCCCACAAGGAAAGACAGACGTGTGCTGCTCAGGCCTGTAGGAAGCCCGTCTCATCCGAAGGCTCCTGAGCAGGCACACAGATAACACCTCCAGGGAGGATTCCCTCAGCTCCCTTCTTTATTCCCTAATTACTGTGATTGAACATTTAGCATTGCTTTTGTTAGCTGCCTTCATGGCAGCTGTGACTCTTGGTGACCCCCATGCACAGTGGAATAAGGCCCTGCCGGGTCCTGCACCACCTTCACAGTTGGCAGCAGATAGTGCCATTGTGATCCATAGGGTTTTTATTGGCTGCTTTTTGGAAGTAGATTACCAGGCTTTTCTTCCTACTCCATCTTAGTTTGGACACTGCCCTGAAACCTGTTCTGCATTATAGCTAACTTCCACTGACAGTACATCTATGCCTGAGATGTACTGGCTGGGTAGCAAACCTGTCTACTGCAGCAAAGATGAGAATGCTACCGCTGAATCACCACTTCTCTGTAAGCTCACTGATTTCCTCTCTTCAGTAGCGTCCTGTTGTGGCGCTGGGGGTTAATGCGCCGGACTGTAAAGTCATTTGAATCACAGGTTGGCAGTTCAGGCTCACCAGTCACTCCTTGGAAACCCTATTCAGGGTTGCTATAGGTTGGAGTGGACTTTGTGGCATTTAACAACAACAACAAGAGTATGCATTCCCCAGAAGGAAGATGAGGCTTTCCGCTCTGGTGAAGATTTATAGCACACCACCAACACCATGAGTATATAAATATTCTGCGGGCAGGGGTCATTATTAATTAGCACAGTATATCAATCCCTAGTGCATTGTCCTGTGGAAGATGTCTGATAAATTTTTGTAGGATGACAGTATGAATGGGTATTTCTGTCTTACTCAGACTGGCAAATTATGACCTATGTTTATAAATAGTTTGATTGATACAGAGTTGCACTAATTTGGTTTAAGTATTGTCTGTGGTTGCTTTTGGAATCCTGGTGTGGCGCTGTAGGATAAGCACGGGATTGCTAACTGCCGGGTCAGCAGTTCAAACCCACCAACCTCTCCTTTGAAACCCTATACAGGGTTGCTATGAGTTGCAACAAACTCAATGGCACTTAAAATCCACAGTAGTTACTTGCATACTACAACAGTGACCTTATACTTACCGTGTAAGACCAAAACAATGATTTGGTTCTTTACAGCCTATGTTTGCCCACTCTGTAATAGGAGGGAAATCATGAGGACTTCTTCACCTTTATGCCCAGTCAACATTGACAGGCAGTTACTACTCACAGATAAGACTTGAGCCATTAACCATTTGACATCAAGTCCACTCCAGTGAATGGCGACCCATGTGTGTCAGAGTAGAACTAACTGACTGATCTTTCAGAACTAGATTGCCAGGTCTTTCTTCTGACATGGTGGACCTGGGTGAACCTGGGTGGACCTGAGTGGACCTGAGTGGACCTGGGTGGACCTGAGGGACCTGAGTGGACCTGGGTGAACCTGGGTGGACCTGGGTGGACCTGAGGGACCTGAGTGGACCTGGGTGGACCTGAGGGACCTGAGTGGACCTGGGTGAACCTGAATGGTGGACCTTTAAGTTAGTGCTGAGTGTGTTAACCATTTGCACCACAGGGTGGACTCCGGTTATTGGGTGCTGCTGAGTTGATTCGTATTCATCTAGACTCTGTGTGAGTTGCATTTAGCTAGCACCTGAGTGTTTAACCCTTTGCAACCTTCTTTTGTTGCTGTTGGTTGCTCTTCAGTAAGTTGGACCTTGGTGACCTTAGAAGAGAACAACACATTGCTGGTAACCAGTAGCTACCCCAGTATTCCAGCCGTCCTGGCCTTTTCTCAGAATCTCTCCACATTTCTCCTTGAACTGAAGGGTTAACATTTGGTGTAGCCAAGTATCCTTTCTCATTTCAGGCTGGTGCCATACTTGTTGAATATCTAGAATACGGTCTTTGTTGCTAGTGCTTTGAATAGTGTCTAGTACATTGGTGGAGCTTGAGGAGTCTGCAGGGACTGAATGGGTAAAGAAGTATGTTGATTTCCCCAGGGAATGTGATAAGCTTCACACAGCATGGTGGACCGCCCCCAGGACCTACTCCAACTGCTCAGAAAAAGCTTCTTGTGGAACTGAAAGTCAGAGGTGTTCTTCCCCCTGACTATAAACCCGATTTATACTCCTACTGCTAGGAACTGTTCAGAAGTTGTGTTCTAGCCTAAGAAGACTGGGGTTAGGCATTGACAGGTTCTGTATGGAGAGACTGACTCTATTAGTACCTTTAATTTTGACTTTGGAACCTCCTTAAACCACAACACTTCAGAAGCAGATAATGGCAAGCCAGAAAAGCACTGAGTATACCGCTGAACTTTCTGCTTCTGGAACCTTCCATTCATTCTTGGGTAGAAGCCACCGTAGTCACAAACAGGCTGTACTCAGCAATGAAGTGGGCTTGCTTTTGGGTCTTGTGTGAATGATAGAGCTGGGTACCTAAGTGACATCAGGAACATCAACAAGGTGAGTTCCAAAATTCCAAGTTGCAAATTCTGGAATTCTAAACCCTAGGTGTACATTAGAACCACCTGGGTAGTTCAGACTAAAATACAACACACTAGAGAACAGCCCATCCAGGAGAGGTTCTGATTTATTCGGTGTGGGGACCAGGCACCACTACTTTGTAAAACCTTCCAGATTAAAAGCTTCTGGTCAGGCAGCTGTCTGTGATATCTTAAAAGGTCAGTGTGCTCACCCCTTTACACAGTATCTCTAGGGAAAAGTAACTGAACATAGGCACCAAACTCAGAGAAACGCGAGTTCAAATTCCACCTCATACTTGCTGTCAAAGCGAGGGCAAACTATCTCACTGTCCAAGCCTCAGTGTCTTCATCTGGAAATTGGGTTAATAGTCACAGCACTTAATTCCCACTAGAGCATCCAATGATTCAATGCATGAAAAGTGGCCAGCATTGCCCCACATACTGTTATATTCAATAAATGGTCCTTTTCACTGTGAACTGCCACCCCCCCACCCATTTTTCTTTCTAGGTGGAAATTCATAGTCGGTCATCTGGGCTACTGTATCAGAATGGTAGATAATGAGATTGTCCCCCTTGCTGGAGCAGAATATCTGGGAACTCAGGCTTGAGAATCTCTGCTGTACAGACTTTGCAGTCAAAGTCACAGCATAGATTTTTAGAACCTCCCAACCTGAGCTCTTATTCCAGTTGAGAATCGTGGAGCATCAGAAGCGCCCACACAGATCACGGTCCCATTGTTATACCTTGGAAGATGCAGTTGTGAGATCAGTAATGGGATGTCCTCCTGTTACTATATCTAGAGGGCACAGAATGAGCGCCCTGCCCTCTTCCCCAAACACTGTCAACTTCTGTTTGCATAAAATTCCAGGTCCTCAGCCATAGTCAGTAAAAAAGTGGGGATAACTACTACTCTGTTGTGTTGAAGGGTGCATCTGTTTGTGCCTTGAGTGTAGGTGAGATGGAGGTTTCTAGGCTACCTGCTTTGATTGTTACAGGTTTGCTGAGCCATGCCAGTGGCCCAGCTCATGGGGCTTTGGGTGCAAGCTGCGGGTGAATCCTGACTAACTCTTACCAGCTATTGCCAGTCTGGCAGAATACATGGGACCCTTCTCTTTACAAACCATCCTCTCTCTTTGGGGTTCTTAATAGAGCCATTGAGCAACCCAGGAATAAGATGCAACTAATGGCTTGACAAACAAATGAAAAGCTTTCTTAAGAATCAGGTGTGGACTCTCCTCTCCTCTGAATCTTATGAATCTGTTGCCTTCACAGTTCTTTCTTTTGGTTTTCTGTCTTTAGCAAACATATGTATTCTCTCACTATTTGTTGTTAGAGTTAAGTGCTGTCAAATGGTTCCAATTCGTAGTGACCCTGTGTAGGGTTTCCGAGTAGTGGCTGGTAGGTTTGAACCACGACTTTGTAATTAGCAGGCAAATGCTTATCCTAGGTCATCACACCAGGGAGACTAGAAATTCAAATTCAGGGTGCTAGCTCTAGAGGAAGGCTCTCCCTGTGGGCTCTGGGGAAAGAACAAAATCCTGGAGACCTTGTCATCAGTCTTTCCCTGGGTCTAGGAGGTTCTCAGCACAGGGATTCTGGGTCCAAATGATGCACTATGGTCCCAGCTAGTCTTCCTCAGTGGTGCTGAAGTCTCTCCTTCTCTGCTAGCCTGTTTAATCTCTTTAGTACCTCAGAAAAATTGATTCAAGATAGGGTCTAATCCTGTAGGTTGCTTCCTGCTTCATTAACATAACTGCATCTAATCCTGCCTCATTAACATTTAAAGGTCGAGATCCACAACATTCAGGATTATACCCTGAAGGACTTCATTGGCTGGGGAATCTCAAATTTAAATTAGGTAAAGATTTAACAAGGGGATGGACCCCCCTCTCCCCCCACCACACACACACACACCAATAAATTCATAGGCTGTCAGGTTTTTTGTTTTTTTCAAACTCTCTCAATTGGAATTTCACACTTAGGGGCTCCTGGTGGCTGCCCCAAACTAAAGTGGCAGAAATGAGTTTTACAGAAAAGGGCATAATTTATAATTTTTTTTCTGAAGAGCTTAGAAAACAAACTATCCTGTCTATTGTGGAAGAGCTAGAAAGAAACAGGGAAAACTTAGCTGTTTAAAATTTATATTATTGTACTCTTTAAAAAAGAATAAATGTAACTGATGAACATATAAAACATTCAAACACTACAGGACTCTATGTTGTTAAGTGCTGTCCAGTCGGTTCCAACTCATACTGACTCAAGGTTTCCGAGGAGTGGCTGGTGAGCTTGAACTGCTGATCTTGTAGTTCAAACTGACCTTGCCAATCATTAACCCACAGGGCCACACCAGGACTCCACAGGACTATGTGGTGGTGGTGTGTCTTAGAGTCAGTTCCAACTCAACTCACAGCCACCCTGTATAGGGTTTCCGAGGC